CCCCAAAACCCCAAAACCCCAAAACCCCTTCTACTATAAATGTCATGAAATTAATAATCGATTAAGATAAATTAAGAATATAATCTGATATTTTTAGAAAATCTTTGCTAAATAGAGCAAGCAAATTTACTCCTTAGTAGACAAATTTATACTTTTTAACAGAAATCATGAGACTCAGCAACAACGATTTTTTCTCTTTTTAATGGCTTCTTGGTCTTTTCTTTTATAATTTTGAGAAGTTCTTGATGAAAATTTAGATTAGAGACTTGATCTACATTCTTGAATATATGAACTCAAAGATTCCTCAAGCATTGAATCCATTTTAAGTGAAAAACTAAATTCACCTATTTTTATTGTATTATGTGAGATTTCATCTCTTCTTTTTCCACTATCACTTGATCTTAATTCTTGATTTTTCATTATGATATCTATTAGTCAGTATTAATTTTTATTTAGTAATCATCATTGACTTACTTTAAGCAAGAATAGTGAAGCACTGATTAACACACTTACCACTTAGAGCGCTTATCTCTATAAATGCCAATCCAAATTACTCTGCAAGTGCCTTCCCCAGTTCTTTCTTAACTTATCTTTGCATTTCCATATCAGATTTATTCCCCACTAGGATAAAGGACTCTTCAACTTAAGATCTATCATTTAATGAAAAGAAATGTTCCTCTAATTCAATTAGCCATGACTTTACGTTAAGAAAGCTCTCCATATTAGTAACATCGTAGACAATGGCAATGCCATTTGCATTTTTGTAATATGAGCTTACTAAAGATGAATGTCTCTCTTAACCAAGAGTGTCCCAGATTTCCAGACCCACAATATTATATTTTTGTTTCTGATTCTCATTTGAAATATCAGTTTTATTAGACTGAAAAGGATTCACTGATAATCTTGATTCTTTTTTAAGTGGAGTCTTGCTAGAATTATATGATTGTTAGAACAAGACTGCAGCTGTACCCCCAGGTGATGAGTCATGTCTCTAATCAGATTACAGATTTGGTGGCCCTTAATTCAAAGCTTTGATAGGCATCAAGTAATTAGTCACTTCCTCTACTCCAACAGTGGGGACTCTTTCAAATGAAAAGATATTTCTGGTTAATCTTCAAATAATTGACGTCTTACCAACATTACAGTCTCCTATCAGAATTACTTTATGAAATTAAGTAGTTTTCTCAAGCATGCCTCCTCCAAGACCCAAACTTACATCATTTTATGTAGCTGTTGGTGTTAATATCTAAGAGCCACCGTATTCAGTTGTAAGTCCTCCTAGTATTGGTGACTGGGTTTGATCGTTTATTGAGTATTTTGTCTTATCTTCAAAGTTTGTAGTGAGAAATATATTTTTATTTAAAGAATTTATTTGAACTTTAGACTCCTCCATGATTCAATTAAGATCGATTCAATCAATAATATTATTATTCTGGGTATCATCACTTCAGTTAATTATAAAGTCAATTTAAATTATTCAATCTTTTTTATTTTTTAACATAGCGATTATTTAGGATGAATGGGGTTTTGGGGTTTTGGGGTTTTGGGGAGATCGGAAGA